AGTATGTTACTCTTTTAACAATAGAATGAAACACTCTACATGTTCAAAGGATCAAAAATAAGACCAATATAAGACAAAATCCAAACCCATGAAACCACACTGGATTAGGTAAATGTGTGATAGACAAGAGATCGGATTATTATGCAAATTTGAAAATTATTGAGTATACTAACTAGTCTGCACTATGGTCAGTATTTTAAAAGACAGGAAAAGGCAAGACGCGGGCGCAAGACATGAAAAAAGCCTATTAATGGAGAAGACACGAAAAAAGGCTGTTAACTCTATTTTTGACTCTCTAACATGGGCTTGGGCACCAAAAAGACAAGTTGAGATTTGCTGTCCTTCTAATTAATTATTTACACATAATATTAAAATAACATGTCTACAATTTTAATTTATCACTTTAACAATTATTTAACACTGTTCAATACTCTCTTTCTCTCTCTCTATCTCAAAAATGATTTATTGACAATTAATTGGGTAAACAACAAAAGTTGGACTCGAGATCTAGGCCTTAGTTTATCCAATTTTTTATTTTTTCAAATGGTAAATAAACCAAATAAAAGAAATAATTATTAATGATACTATTAAAATAATTAGATTATGAAATAATTATCAATGGTCTTGAAATAGTTCAATAATAATAAAAATAGAGAAATGGCTTATTACATGGGGGATTCGACTAGGGACGTTTAGGCTCGTAAGACTTGAAGCTTTAACTTGTAGTCTTGTCACATCTTTTAAATCTTTGTACAATGAAGAGATTGATAGGAATTTTGATTCAATTAATAGTTGCGAAAGGGGCGGAAGCTGCTTTATATACGACAGATTTGCAAGAATCTTGAAATGCTCAAGCATACAATCAAATATTAGATTATATGTATAATTAACTCTTCTAGATAACGGAGAAGAGAATTCTATTTCTTTTCGACATTCCCTAGTCAAATCCATTTTTTCACAGCGATAATTTGAAAAGAGCATACGGATCAAAACTAAGATGATCAAAATCTCTTTAGACAAATAATCAATGTAATCAATGAATCAAAATAAGCTATCTATTTTATGACAAATAATTAACTCATTCAGTTCTCATACATGTAATTAAATTCGAAACTGAAACTTAAATTAATTGATGAAGAAGAATCAGCTTACCAATCACGCGGAGTTAAAAATTTAAATAACACAATAGACAGACCAAAATTTATGTTAAGAGTTTGTTTGAGAGTGATTTTAAGAATTGATTTTTGGACCGTTAGGAAAAAAGTGAGGTCCACCTGTGAAAGAAGTAATCAAATATGACGACTGAAATAGATAAATAACGGTCAAAAAATCAATTTTTTGAACAAAAAAATCACTCCCAAACAGACTGTAAGTCTCAAGAGTCAAAAGAAAATCCATATCTATTTGAAGAGAAAAATTAACGTTAGAAAATCTGATTTTTCTTCCGTCAACGGTTATAATAAGTAAGCAATTTCCTTTCCATATCTATGACTTAAAAGTAAATTTATGGTAAGTCTCAAAACAAACCCATATCTACATGCGTAGAAAAATTAACGTTAGAAATCTGATTTTTCTTCCATCCCGGGATTCATTCAAAATTTATTTCCTTTTTGTGTACTTTCCTTTCCTTTCAGAGACTGATTCACAATTTATTTCCTTCTTGTGAACTTTCCTTTCCTTTCCCAGAATGATTCACAAATTATATAAGGCAATCTCTCTTCCCTTCTCAACAATTTCATATTTTCTTTACAATCCGTTCATCAGTTCTGATATTTCAAGAATTTCTTGCTTAAAATACACACACCGTCAATTGCTATGGCGTATAATCTTCTGAATCAACCCGTCCAACCATTCTATTTTACACTGACTTTCACTTACTTTTCCGGTTACACCACCGTAATGCAAGAAAACTACTGGGTTGAGTCACAAGGCAGTAATTACCAGTTTCCTTCAACTTACGGGTATGTTCCTCGACGACGACGACGAACCAGGGAGCATGTTCAAGAAAACTACAGGCACTTGAATCAAACATGGCAAGGTTCATATGATGAAGTCGAAGTATGGGATGAGTCTGATTTTATCGAGCATCGGAGATCAAATTTGTCTACCAACATATCTCGTGATGATCTGGTCCGGACTAATTTGTCAGAAGAAACTATCCTCCGACATTTAAAAACAAGAAAGTTCGCTACTTCGGAAGAGGCAAAACCCACAAACGAAAGTCCTGAAATCTGTGTGGTGTGCCAATGCGAATACGAAGACGATGAGAGCATTGGACGCCTACCGTGTGGACATGAATATCATGTCGATTGCATTACGAGGTGGTTGTGTCAAAAAAATGTGTGTCCTATCTGCAAAGCCACCGCAATACCAAGAAGGGAAGAAGTAGCTCGAGGATAGAAATCAAGAAGAATTGCAGCAACTGTATTGAAATTTTGTTCTATAGTTGTTATTTGTTCTTTGGATGTACTCTGCACAATATTGTTTGGAATTTTATGTAATCAGTTTTCTGTTTTTTACAAGCGCTTTTGTTAGTTTTGTCCGTTTTGTTACATCGTTACATATTCATTTGATGAGTGTTTCTTAAACTACCTTTAGAGCATTAGAAGACGACGACAAAAACTAGTTGAGAGAGCGATCAAAATTCATGTGATTATCAAGAATATGATCAACCTGAATAATAATAGTAGTAATAGACATGTAAGTCAATGGTTTTTACATTTTAGGTTAACCTTTTTTTTTTAATTTAGATAATAACTATTTCTGGATTATCGGCTTGAGTTTTATTTTGTTTTCAGTTTGGGCCTGGATTTTAGTTTGAGTTGGGTATGTATTTTGGGTTTTGGTTGGGCTTGGATTGTGTTGGGTTCGGAGGTGTTTGGATTTCACTTTGGATTGTTTATAGATTGGGGGACAACTTACAAAAATATCCTTAAAATTAGGGGTATTTTGAAAAAGCATATGAAATTTATTTTAGAAATAAAAAATACTGTGTAAAATTAAAAAGTAACACAACATCACTTAAAAAAAAAAAACAAACAAACAAACAAACTGTATTACTTCTAAAAGTTTAGTATCACTTTTTTATTAAAAAAATTACATACAATGTATCATTAAATTATGTATGTCACTAAGAAAAGTGATAGAAATTTCAAAATGACGATTGAAAAAAAAAAAGTGACAAAAATTTAAAAAAGGGAGACAAAAATTTCAAAAAAAAAAAAGTGACAAGTTTAAAAAAGTGACAGAAATTAAAAAAAAAAAAGTTATACAAATTCAAAAAAAGTGACAAAAAATATTTAAAAAAAAAGTGACAAAAATTTCAATAAAATGACTAAAAATTTAAAAATATGAAATAAAAAAGTATTATATAAAATTAAGTGACAAAATGTCACATTTTTATATAAAAAAAAGTGACACGGACTTTTCTAAATCAAGAGTGACTTTTTTTTATTAAAAAGTGACATAACATACAATGTCACTTTTATTAAAAAAGTGATGTTTGTTACAAGGAATAGGGAAAAAAAAGTGACAAATTTTTATTTTTATTTTTAAAAAAAAGGTGATAAACACTAAAAAAGTGATAGAAATTAAAAAAAAAAAAAAAGAATTTCTTGAGTTGGGAGTTTCTGATTTCAGAAGTTGTGGTTCGAGGCTTTTAGGGATTTGGTGGTTGAAGCAACAAGAATTTCTTGAGTTTCTCGGAATTGTTCGACGGAGACGATAGTGAAAGGAAACGAGTCATGGGTGAGAAAGGTTTCTTTGAGAGTTATCTAGAGATAGTAGTGATTTTGGGGGATTTTGATAGTTTTAGGACGTATTAGTTATTAACTTAAATGATTCGATTGGTTTAAAAGTGTATTATTCTAATTGGTTAATTTAATAGGATAGTATATCTAATTTACTCATAGATATTTAGCCCTTGTTTGAGCCCCATTTAGGTGGAAATGGCTCTCCTGCTTCATTGTACCATTCAATAATGTGAATCAAACTCACAATCACATAATAAGGTAGTACATCTCTACTAATGATAAATAATGTTATTCCAAGAATATTGCCTTCTACGTAGAACTACCCAGCCAAATTTTCTAGATGTGATAGAATACACACATTTCACTACTTGATTATTGGTAATGAATCTTGATCTTGTAGTTTTATGGAGCATATTCCGCTATCCATGCTTTTCTCGTCATAATATACAAAAAATGAGGTCATCTTAGATCGTTTTGAATGATCATATATCAAATAACATGTTTAGGCTATGATCCACGCTTCTCTCTTGTCGTAATCCACTGGAAAACGAGGTAATCTTAGATTATTAGAACTAACATTTCAGGAAAGTTTCTGAAAATAAAAACTCCAAGCCCCTTAACTTTAATTAAGCCCATGTTTGGTGTAAATTAAAAACTTACTAAAAATTTAAGTTAACGAAATAATTAATTTTAATCATACATTCCATAGGATTCACAACTTTTCAATCATATATTTCATTAATTTTCAAAACCCACTGAAAATATAGCCCCCGTTTGAGCCCCATTATTCCTCATTACATTAAATTAAATTTTTCTCTCTCCTACTTTTAACCACACAATCTTCAATAAAATAATATTACACGTAAATCAAAATCATTTCTTTTCTTTTCAACCACTCATTTTTCAAAAAAACACTATTCAAAACATTATAATCCCCAAGAAATGGGACTCAAACGGGGGCATAATTTTTAACTACCCAAATAGAGGCTAAGAATGCTCAAAATAATGATATCATGCCCAATTGTGTCTTATTTGGAAAATAAATATTCTTCCATAAGATTCCTAATATCGAGATTGCATGTGTCTCACGATAAAGAGCCACCTATTTTGTTAGGAGATCAGAAGTAAAATTAGGATTAAAGACTTCAAACATGGCAAAAGTTAGTTGTTAATCTTGAATTCCTTGTAACAAATTTTAAGCTTGATTATGACTTTTTTCCAAAATTCAACATCCAGTCAAACTGTCAATGTCTGAAACTAAATGAACAAAATCGAAGAGAACTAATACATACTTGCTTCCAGTCAATATTGAAAGAAATAAATAAAATGACAAGCAGAACATGCAGTCACTCGTAGAAAATCAAATGCACCATAATGGAGGTGAAATATAACTACGAGATTCTCCTGCATAATTTAATTGAATGGTTCCGTCTTCCATGTTAAAGATTCCCATGTCATGGCCACCTCCACCAGGTTCATCGAGATAGAGCTCACAATTATCATCTGTAAAGTATATGCAATTTGGTTTGATACATTCTGATGAGGCAATTGATGTAGAAACATTACTACCTAAGAACAATGCTTGATCACCTAAACTAGTCACTTCAGTTAATCTATATGCATAATTATTCCCCTCCTCGTGACATTCATCTAACCTCAAAACAGAAAAGCCAGTCGTATAGTATCTAGCTTTCTCCTCTTCCTTGTCAATGCCTTCGGCATCCTCCACCTCATCAACATTATCATCAACATCACCCTCTTCCTCATCGTTAACATCATCTTCTTCTTCTTCTACGTCGTCGTCATCAAATAAAAGACCCTTTCGGAGACGAGAAACGAGTAAAAGACGTCCTGATGATTCAACTAGATACTTCTGATACAAATCACTAGTTTCAACTGGAGCAGGGGCAACAACTGTTGCTTTTGGGCCATTGGCGTCATCAAAGTCACAAACAACTACAACTCCATGAACATCTACGGCATAAAATTTCCCATTGTAGAAAATAATATCTTGGTAAACGCGAGAATGGACAGAGATATTGGTCCAAACAGTATCTCCTAATTTTGTAAAAGCCAATATAGCAAATTCTCCATAAATAGCAACTATAGTACAATCCTCATTATAATCATGTGAACTTTTCTCCTTTCGAGGATTTGAGGACATCGCTATTTTCCTAACAAAGAAATCCCAAACCTCTTGTGGCTTGAATGTCTCATCATATTCATACTGATCAGGGAAGGTCAGCATAGGGGGTAGGCAAATTTGTTGTCTAGAGAAGGGGTGCAATAAATTGATTTGTAAATCAATGCCAATTGTCCACAACCATCCATAATGTGCTCCTCTGCACTTCCTGCCACTCGCTTCTGGCAACTGGAGCCGATATGTCTTTGAGGCTAATAAGTTAAGAAAGCAACGAACTGATGCATCTTGATCACCTCGATTCTCTTGATCCTCCGTATCTATTTTTTCAGCGAGCATGATCCGAGGATATCTAGTAGGCAATGAAGGTTTCTTCTTCAATATTGAAGTCACTGATTTCCATTCTTTACAAACAGTAGTGAAGGATGTAAAATCCTCTATTAGAGTTAAACTTTGAGCGATAACAACCAAAATGTCAACTGGAAGATCAGCCCAATCTGCCATGTTCAGCTATCAGCTGCAGGCAATAAATTCAAGATGAAAATAATGAAATAACTAAAATATTAAAAAAGATGATATTCTTAATCAGCTTCACAACTAAAATATATATGTTTATGGTCTTCTAGGAATAAAATTAAGTATGTCAGTGCAGCAACAGGCATTCACATTTCCCTTTCTTTTCTTCATTCTACTAGCTACATTAAGGCAAATACAAAAGTGAATTTTCATTACAATAATTCAGAATTATGGTTTATGATTAGTAGGATTAGAATTCAAAATTATTGATAAATTAATTAAGAAATACGTACGAGTAAAAAGATTGAAAAGTACGTTAGAATATATGATAAAAGATTAACATCAAATTGTAGTGTGAACATTATTTATATATCTGTACTTCCTTCCCAGCAATCCAGCATAATTCACATAACTTATGTAAACACAGTCCATCGCATAAACTCAAATTAACAGGCAAATAAGTATAAACACTTGAGAATTGAGAATAAAATATTACTGTAAGAATAAAAGTAAAAGTTGGCCCCCAAAAAAAACTAAAATTCAAGGCTAAGTTCTAAACTAAAGTGGCATCAAAATGAACTGTAAAAATTAAAAAAAGACTCGGATCAGCAATGGCAGCCCGTAGACAGTGGCAGTTTGTTAGACGTCGGCCACAGTAAATCACAAGCATCAGTTGAAAAGTACGTTAGAATATATAATAAAAGATTGACATCAAATTGTAGTGTGAACATTATGTATATATTTGTACTTCCTTCCCAGCAATCCAGCATAAAAGGTTCATAATGCAGTTCAGATAACTTATGTAATCACAATCCATAGCATAAACTCAAATTAAACAAGCAAATAAGTATTTATACTTAAGAAATTGAGAACAAAATACCACTGTAAGAATAAAAGTAAGAGTTGGCCCAAAAACACTAAAACTCAAGGCTAAGTTCTAAACTTAAAAAATAAAAAATAAAAAACAAAAAGAAAAGAGGCTTACAGTCAGTGATGGCAGCCCGTAGACAGTGGCAGTCTGTCGGGGATCGGCAACAGCAAGTCACATGCGTCAGTTGAACCACAACAGCTCAAATCCCTTTTTCTACAAATTGCAAATGTAAAAACGGAACAATGAATGAAAAAATTCGCTCCACAGAAGACAATCTAAAAACAGGGTGAATTATGCGGCATAGAAGACAATGTATAACAAATATATACATAAATACAAAATTGAAATACGTGCACAGTGACTATTTATGAGCCAAATGATTCATCCGTAAGTTCACTTATTTACGTACGATGAATTCTTTTTAAATAAAAGGGCACACCACAAAAAGAACGTCCAAGGTTCCGCCTTTCACAGATTACAGCACCGCCATCCGTTAAAATCAAAGAAACATAAATCAAAGTATTTCTACCAATTTGGACTAAATCTTAGCATAAAATATACAAATTTGTATAAATTAAAAGCTAAGAACATAAACAGAGAATCGAGATTGACAAATACCTTTGAAGAGAGATTGCCGAGAAGTGAAGAAGAGGGATCCTGGAAAAGTGCCTTTGGAGAGAGAATACCGAGAAGGGCACACCACAAAGAGAACATCCATGGTTCCGCCTTTCATATATTACAGCACCGCCAGCCGTTAAAATCAAAGAAATAAAAATCAAAGTATTTCTACCAATTTTGATTAAATCTTAAAATAAAATATACAATTTTTTTGTATAAATTAAAAGTTAAGAACATGAACAGAGAATTAAAATTGACAGAAGAGGGATCCTGGAAAAGTACCCTTGGAGAGAGAATACCGAGAAAGGAAGAAGAGGGATATTGGAAATTCGAGAATTGAAATTGATAGTATTGTGGCTGCTTTTATAATTGGGGTTGGAGAACGATTTTTATGAATCCTTTTATTTATTTATATTTTTTTTCCTTGAACTCGTGATAAATTTTCTATTAATGTGTTCTTAGCCCATTTGGTAGCAATTTTTCACTAAAAAAAATTTTTTTGATTATTATTTCACCATTTCAGTCGTCATTTTTTATTTCTTCACTCACTTTTCTCTTTAAGGGTAAAAAAATTAATTATCAAAATCACTACACATTTTTTCTTCATTAAAAATAAATAAAATAATCTTGACTAGCCATTGCCAATAAACAAATAATGTCAAATGTCCAAAACGTCCTTACCATGGAAAAGACCCATACAACCCTTTCATTGCAATCAAATTCTTCAATTCACCTCCACAACAAATTGAAGTGCTCTCCATGTGCTTGTTGTCTTAAAATCCTGTTATTCAATATATTCTTCATCTATCTTCTTCAATATTTTTATCATTTGAATAAGAATTTTGATTTCTATATCTACGTTGAGATTTCTATTATATTTGAAGAGAAATGAAATATATTTTTAGAAATCTCATGTATATTGGTACTATAATTGTTGAATATAATATGAAATAATATTTTAGTTGATTTTATTTTTGAATTTGGTGTATTTTTGTGCTATCCACAACTATTTTATGATAACGGCACTCCAGCCATTATCTGTTGTATAGAATGACACTATAATGTGAAACGAAAAATGTACTTTTTTGTTATAATAAAACATCATTGGTGTCGTTTTGAGTATTTTGCCTAAAAAATAGAGAAGTGATGCTTAAAAATTAAATATTAACGATTTAATAGCTTAATTTCAAAACATACGCGGTATCAATCATTCATATCGTGTTTACATACATAACGACACTTGTGTTGTTTCCTTTTTTCATGTTGATTAAGTAATTAGCATATATCTTGTAAATGGCATATCTATCTCGTAACTTAAATGAGCTCAACTTCTCTCGAACGGGTCGCGGAGGCACATACTCGTGTTTATAGACAAAACGGCATACATGTCGTTTAACATAATTTGTTTCAATCTGTTATATCTGAAATATTTTGCTTCTTTTCCACCCAACGTCTTCAAGCATTGGACCCCTAAGTTTAGAAAGTAATAAATGTTGATTAAATGAAAAATAACGATAGAATTGACATAAAATATATGATACTGAGTAGGTGGCATCACAACATTCGTTAGAAAATATAATTAATGATCACTTCTCTCAAATTTTGTAAACGACGTGTCAATCTTCCAATTTAAATGAATTCAGCTAATCGATTATCAGGGTTTAGATGGGTTGTGGTTGCTTATACTCGCATTTAGAGACAAAATGACAGAAGTGACATTTAACGGCACTTGTCACGTTCTCATGATTTTCTTTAATATTTTGCTTCTTTTTCCACCGCAACAACCATAAACATTGGATTCCCTAAGAAAGAAAGTAAAAAAAATGTTGATTGTGTGACAAATAACGACAGTATTGACATAAATTATATGATGTCAAGTTGGTGAAATCACAAGTTATTATGTACATTAGAAAACATAATTAACGATTGAATCTCTCAAATTTTGTAAACGACATGTCCATCTTGCAACTTAAATGAGTTCAGCTTATCGATTATCGGGGCTTTGACGGGTCGTGACTACTCATACTCGTGTTTATAGATAGAAAGACACAAATAATGTTTAAAGACACTTTGTGTTGTTCTAATAATTTTTCTAATATTTTGTTTCTTTTCCATCACAACGACTTCAAGTATTAGACCCCCTAACTTTAGAAAGCAAGAAATGTTGATTATGTGACAAATAACGATAGAATTGACATAGATTATGTGATATCAAATAGGTGACACAAAAGTAATTGTCTACATTCATTAGAAAATATATAATTAATGATCACATTACATGTCTATCGTCCAATTTAAATGAGTTCAACTTATTGATTATAGGGGCTTGGACGGATCGTGGCTACTTATACTCCTGTTTATAGATAGAAAGATAGACATGACGTTTAATGGCACTTGTGCCATTCTTATGATTTCTCCAATATTTTGCTCTTTTTCCACTTCAACGACAACAAGCATTGGACCCCATAACTTAAAAAGTCAAAATGCTGATTTTGTGACAAATAATGGCAGAATTGACATGGGTAATATGATATTGAGTTGGTGAAATCGAAATTCATTGCCTACATTCGCTAAAAAATATAAATAACGAGCATATTTTTCAAATTTTGTAAATGACGTGTCCATCTTGCAACTTAAATAAGTTCAACTTAACGATTATCGTGGCTCGAACAGGTTATGGCTACTCATACTCGTGTTTATAGATGTCGTTCTAATATTTTTCCAATATTTTGTTTATTTTCCATCACAACGACTTCAAACATTGGACCCCTAATATTAGAAAGTAAGAAATATTGATTATGTGATATCTAATAGGTGGCATCACAAGTCATTGTCTACATTCGTTAGAAAATATAATTAATGATCATATCTCTCAAATTTTACAAACGACATGTCAATCTTCCAACTTAAATGAGTTTAGCTTATCGATTATCGGGACTTGAACGAGTCGTGGCTGCTCATAGTCATATTTATAGACAGAATGACAGAAATAAAATTTAATGACACTTGTATCGTTCTTATGATATTTCCAATATTTTGCTTTTTTTTTTTTTCCATTGCAATGATCACAAGCATTGAACCCCCTAACTTAAAAAGTCAAAAATGTTGATTATGCGACAAATAATGGCAAAATTGACATGGGTCATATGATATTGAGTTGGCAAAATCACACTTCATTGTCTACATTCATTAGAAAATATAATTAATAAGCATATCTCTTAACTTTTGAAAACGGTATGTCCATCTTGCAACTGACATGAGTTCAACTTATTGGTTCTCGAGACATAGATGAATCATGACTGTTTATACTCATATTTATAGACAAAACAACACAAGTGTCGTTTTCTTTACAGTAACGACACAAGTGTCGTTTTCATGAACAAGTTATATTTCGATAACGGCACTTGTGTCATTCTTTTATAACTTTTTATCTCAGTAACGATACAAGTGTCGTTCTTAATAACATTTTCATCCTCTAAACAGCATTGTGCCATTCTTTTAAAACTTTTCATCTCAGTAATGCACAAGTATCGTTTTTATTGACACTTCATCTTCAAGCATTGGATTCCTAAAGTACGCAAGAAAGTAGATCACGTGATACAGAATGTTTGAAATGACATAAATTATTTGATATAAAGTTGATGAAAATACGAGTGATTCTATTATTTTCAACAAAATATAAATAATGAGCATATCTCTCAATTTTTTTAAACGTCGTGTCCAACCTACAACTTAAATGAGTTCAATTTATTTTTTCTCGAGGCATGGATGAGTCGTGGCTACTTAAACTTGTTTTCATAGACAGAACAGAACAAGTGCCTTTCATTATCAATAATGGTACTTAAGCTGATTTGTTGATTTCACTTTTTATTTTTGTTTGTATCCATCGCAACAATATTTAAAATTGGACACTCTAAGTCGTGTTGTTCTCATAATAATAATAGAAGTTTATATTTTGAATAAGTCAGTAATGGCACGTGTATCGTTTTTGTGGACGTTTTCATCTCAATAACGAACTTTGCCATTCTTGTGGAAGCTTATGAGTCCTATAACGGTACTTATGATGTTGTTAGGGAAATTTTGTAACTTTTGCGATGAAACTTATGTCGTTCTCATGGACGCTTATAAATTTAGTAATGACACTTGTATCATTCTCATGGGACTACAACAATACAATTGAAAAAAGCATAGCTGAAAGGCAAACATTTAACTTAAAGGCATCAACACTATAAAGACACACATCAACAATTAACTCAAAGCAAAGATGTACAATTAAAAATTAATCTCCCAGAAAAAAGAAAAAAAGTAATTTAAAAAATTATCTAAATCTTCGGATCCAAATGCCATACAAATATCTTCACGGCTAACTTCTTCCTCCAATTGGACATATATTCTCGACAAACCAAATCTATATTAAACTGAGCTTGCACAAATTTCGATCAAAGTCATAGCATCAATGCAACATGACAAACAATTATGAGGTCTGATATTGGTCATGAAAACACATGCAATGTAAATACAGTGAGACCTTCAATAAAATGGATAAATGTATCCACCAAGAATTACAAGACTCCTATACTGCCTATCTAATCAGCAGTGCCTAAAAGAGTAAAGAAAATACCATATAGTTTGACAAGAGATTACTTTTTGATAATCTACAGAAGCGGTGAAAACCACAGCTATATGGAAGCCAATTGCATCTTGCGAGCTTGCTGTTAGATGAAACCGAGCAAATTACTTACAAACTCCGAGCATAAATGAAGAAAATTGTACAAGCTCAAATATATTAAACCTCCACGGGTACAAATGATCATCAAATAACAGCAAAGCAAAAAAGCCAACACACTGCTTGAAAATTTGATACTAAAATGCCTATTGATGGCAATAAAGTGGTATAACAGTTGATTAAATATCCTTCACATTCAAAACTACTGTCAAAAAGTGATGCAATATGCAAATCATACCAACATTTTACCGTTTTGGGTACAATTGATGGACGCCATGCTCTAATTGAGTAGGAAGCACATCATCAATCTACATAAAAAGTTTAAAACAAGGTTATCCTTTTACATATTCAAAAGAAAAGAAATAAACTTTTGGCAGTAGAATTTTTACAATAAGGATTGACTTATTTAGTTTCAGAGCAATAAATAACAACATATAGAGAACCAGCTTACATATGCTTCACATTTTAATTGAAATATTTCCAATACATGACAATCATGAAAAAAGTTATTAACATCTCCTATAGGATCAAAATTCAAAAATGAAATTGCTTAATTAGTACAGACCAATTTCTTTCTTTCCTTCACCATTATCTATTCAACATCATCCTTAATTCAAACCCATAACTAATAAAAAGAAAACCTGGTGAATGATTAAAAAGACCCTTTTGACTATCACCATATTGGAATGCTATTTCACAAATCCATTATAAGAAAGCTAACTTTAATTTAGAAACTTACATACAAAAGCAAAACCCAAAAAAAATAAAAAATAATAAAATAAAATTGATAATTAAGGTTTGTGTAATTTGCACCGTAGAGAACATAGGTGCCTGGGATTGGGGGCGGTGGTTCAGAAGCAGAGTTTGGATACTGTAGATAGTCCTCGTAGAGCTTGCAATACAGCGATGGTGGCGGGTATGTTGCTGTAGGCATTTACAGTTGATTTTAGTATTCTTCTTTCTTGATTTCTTTCAATACTAACACCAAAGCCAATAAATTTGTCATTGAAGAAGCCGTCAATGCACAAATTTCAAATCTTCAAAGTTTTACTGGATTGAAGACAATGAAAAGGCAAAGAGGAAGACGATGCTAATTTAATTTAAAAAATGGAGAATAGGGTTTTTTTTAAGTGAAGTTGAAGGAAGAAATGACGGATGAAATGTGGGAAATTTGGTGGTTATTGAGTTAGGGCCGTTTGGTAGGGATTTTGAGAATTGATTTTTTGACCGTTAGAAGAAAAGTGGGGTCCACATGTGAGAGAAGAAGTCAAAAATTACGGCTTGAATAGTAAAATAACGGTCAAAAAATTAATTTTTTGGGACAAAAAATCCCTATCAAACGGTGCCTTAATAATTTAAGGGCAATTTTGTCAGTTTGTCAATTAAAATATTTTGAATTATTTTAATTTTTTTAATAATGGTCAAAGGCCATTTATCCTAATTCTTTACCCAGTCCGGCTATTTGGCCAAATTCCTTATATGTATATTCAGATACACTATTTAATAGGATAGTGCTTGTATGATAGGAATTTTGATAATTAATTTGTTTATCGTTAGAAATAAAGTGGATCTTACCCGTGAGAGAAAAATTCAAAATTGACGACTAGAATAGCAAAATAACGATAAAAAATTAATTTAAAATCCGTAACAAACAAGCACATAATGTAGTTGTCAATTAAAAAGTGTTAGTAAATAATGATTTTTCACATTTCGAAAGTACTTAAAAATTTTCGTAATGAAGATAAGAAAACTAGGAGTGCGTTTGATTGTAAACATGAAATTTGTATAGAGGAAAATAAATTATTGACAATTCAATTGCCTAAAACTTATTTGCATGAAAAATATCAATTAAATGTGTTTCATTAATTTAATTTTCAATTTAGAAAATATTATATTTGTTCTTTTTAATTAATGGGTAGAAGGGAGAGTGGAGAGACAGAGAGAAAGAGATAGTAAATTCCCTAGAAAAAAATCATACTATCCTAAATAAAATATTTTCATTGATTTTGAGAAAAATATTGTCATTTGACCAAAATTAGAAAAATATTTTTCATGAAAAAATGTCAATTAAACCACATAAAAGTAGGAATTTGGGTGAAAAATATTGACAATCAAGCACACCATAATTGAATTGCTACAATTGTGTTTGATTTTCTAAGAAGTTAGAGTTAATTGTTCTAATGGTTACTGAACTTAGATCTATGTCTATGATTGGTCACTAAAGTTTAAAATATCGAGTTTTGATCATTGAATTTATGTCCATACCTTAGATTGCTCATTGAAGTTTAAAATGTCGAATTTTGGCCATTAAATTTTGAAAAATGCTGTACATTACTGACTAAACTTTGAAAAATATTGTATATTATTCACTGAAATTTGAAAAATGTTGTACATTACTTACCGTAAATTCGATATTTTTCAAAATTCAATAATTATTCTAATGAGTAACGTACAGTGATAAGTGTGTTTTCACACGTTTATTTAGCTCACTAACATGACTTAAACATGGACAAAGTAGTCGAATTATGACTTAATCTTGTTAAATTCATGTTATGTAGGTGTTTCTATGGAAAAGATGGAATTCAGAAGAAAAGAGCCGAAAAAGGATCAAAACGGAACAAAGCGATAGATCGAGGACCAAGTTGCAAATAATCCATAGATGAGACGGGAAATGAAATGAAGATTCAAGAGTGTTAAAGTTCAATCGGATGAGGAAAGGAGTCAAGAGGTGAAATATGGTCGAAGTATTATCAAGTATCAAATCTCAAGCGAAAAAGTTATGCTCGTGATTTTGAGTCTCTACTTGAGATCCATTTTTGGCATAGTAAATATCAGAATTTGAGGAAGCCTATTTCTATCAAAAGTGTACATATTTGAGTTTTCTTCCCAATGCACTTTGAATCACTTCAATCGGAGATCGGGAGAGAAAGTTATGACCAAAACACTAAAAGCTATCCGGAGGAAAAATTTTATAACCATGCGGCCGCATGGTTATAATTCCTTGCGGCCGCACAGGGTATTGCAGGGATCCAAATGAGCTGAAAAATAGAACCATGCGACCGCATGGCTTTAAGTGCGATAAAAAATTCTGAAATCCCGTTTTTAATTGAAACTCTTTCGGGGTTCCGCGGGGACATGATATAAAAGCCAAAATTCATCAGAAAAAGGGCAGAACGTCCAGGGAGAAGAAGAATACAACTTTTGGAGACAAGGAACACAAACTTGAAGCCGATTTCACAAGGATTCAAAGGGGTTTTCAAGGTTTTGTTCAAGAATTCAGATTTCAAGAACTTTCATACGGGTGTTATTCATTCTAGTCATTAATTTCGTTTTGTTTTCTGTAATTATGAATCTTCTAGGCTAGGGTTTTAATTACTAGGTGATCGATGAACCGTTGTTTGTTATTTTAATTCTATATTTCATGAACTTGATATAAAGATTCGTTGGATATTTTGATTGATTTACATGCATTAATTTTCTTCCGCAATTAGTGGCCAATGATTGTGTGAGTATTGATGACTTGTTTCTTACATTCGAGAGAAGTGGAATATGTTCGATAAGGTGTAAATTAACATAGGGTCCGATAGGGGATAGAGATATACCCCTATGCTTTATGTAATTCTTAAATTGTTCACAAAACTACATGCATTCTTGTATGTTTGCATCATCCATAGAGATATAGGCTGGTGGTGTGCAAGAATAGGTCTAATATATATCGAGAGAGTATATTGGATAGAATAGGAACATTGAATTGGCAAATTTTCATCGAATCATTAATTTTATGAAATTAGGGTTTTTATAACTTCAATTGGGGATTCGTGATTCTAGTGACTTTAATTTGATTCATTTTAATAAATTAGCTTTTAAACTTGCTTAATTTCATTTACTTGAGTGTTTAAGTCGTTTAATTAGTGAAATTTCGAAATTAGGGTTTCTAATTGAGAAATTAGGGTTTTTAATTGAAATTAGGGTTTTGAAATTAGGGTTTTTAGTTGAAATTGGGGCTTTTTGCACTTAGATCACATTTTCACTCAATTAGATTCGGTTAAGGCTAGATTAAATAGAATTGAACTACTCAATCTCTAAGGGACGATATTCGGACTTTTAAAAATCCACTTTATTACTTGTTACGAACCGTACACTTGCGGTAGTTTTAAATCGAAAGAATTATTTCGTGAACAAGTTTTTGATAACACCCGTATGAAAGTTCAGTAGTGAAAACTTGACATTTTAAATTTCAGTGAACAATCTAAAATATAGACCTATGTTCATTGAGCAATCGAAGACATTGACCTAAGTTCAGTGATTAAAATTCGACATATTAAATTTCAGTAATCAATCAAAAATATAGACTAAAGTTACAGACCATTGGAACAATTAACTCAAGAAGTTAGGTAGGTGATTGAATAGAAGCGTCGTGCCGAAATAGATTTCCTACTTCCAAATGAATGGGGGCCACTAAACTTAAAATAATGTTGCCAACTATGAATAAATCCCAAATACGATTATCTAAAAAATCATAAAGATATGTATGGTATTACTTATCCACTCTTTGTGCATTTATAGTACCAAAACTACTCAGCTACTCCCTTATTTTCTCGTAAATTAATTCGAAATAAAATATTAATTTATAATTTATTTTCTATAAATCGTTTGTACTAAATTCGACTTAAAATTAGAACATGGACACTGAGGCTCAAATCATGACAACTCTTTGAGAGATGTTTGGACACTAAGATTATTACTATGTTTGCAATCAAATCCATCGTGAACATAAGAAACAAGGGACACTCGTGAGACATCGTATGCTTGCATTGATCACTCAATTTTTACATGTTTTCATTTAGCGCTATCTAGTAGAAATTCTCATTTTAATTTGTAGAGAAATTGTGACCGTTGCTTTTCAATTTGACAGGCATTCATGACAAGAAATCAGATATGACAGCCGCAATGTTGTACCAATTTAGGGTAGAATGACCATTTTGCCCTAAACAGTTAAATCAATTTTTTATGATGAATAAGCAATTTAAGTATTTCACTGGTAGATCTTCAATCAATTTTTTATGATGAATAAGCAATTTAAGTATTTCACTGGTAGATCTTCAAACATTGATGTCAACGTGGGTCTCGTATGCTAGTGGATAACGATCGGATAATTGCTCAAAATCAACCAAAAAAAAAAGCACTATCAGACAGCCCTTAATGTGTTTCAAAATATATAATTTTTCTTACTATGCCCGGAATTTCATAGGCAATTCAAGTTTATTGCAGGTATAAGATTTTAGGGTGTGATAAAGAGAAATATGTTGGTGCAGAATTATGAAGATAAAACTCAATCTCTTCATTGCTTTAGTTCTTATCATAATATATTATCAATTTCCACTGTGCTCTATTAATATCGAATATCTCATCTTTATTTAGCTAATTCTTTTTGCTGCTATAGTCTGAATTTGTGGAACAATGATGGTATAGTTTGTGTATATAAAGTTCAAAAATACTCGAACATACTCAATAAACCTCCAAGTCTCCTATTATTCATTCTGTATTCATAAATTCTCGTATGTGATATGGGATTTTTTTGGAGAGTGATTTTTGAGTTGTCGATCAAAAAATTTTAAGGAGTGTTGGTATTTTATCAACGTGTTTGTTCGATTTTGAGAAATTTAAAACGGATTTCAGAAAATAAAAACAAGAACACAGAGAATTTTCACCCATAAAGGGTCCGGATGTTCGGTTACAAAAACCTACTTACCCGTTGAGCATCGACTGCACGATTAAGCTCTAGGTCCACTAAATCACCAAGAAACGTACAAATGTATGAAGAAATTACAGATTTCTTCAATTTCCCTCTAGCCTCTCTATTTGAAATATGGTAACACTAAATCTTACACAAAGATTTTGTATACAACTCTAAACACTAAATTGCAGAGAAATCATCACGAATATGAATGGTTACCAATTTTGAAAGAACCCTAGTTCATACACATAGATAGAACATTCGAGAGAGAAAGAAAAAACTGCACTGCCGAAAAGTGAAGAGCCCAGAGTTAAATATTCAAAACCAATCGTCACAGATCAATGGCAGCCAAGAAGCCACGTGTACTGCAGATGGCTTCACTTGAGGGAGGCCAAAAAACGTTATTTGCAAGGACACGTTTTTGGTAATGGGCCGGGTACTAAACCAATTAGATAGGCCCAATTCTTTAGAAATAGCGAGGCAACCCAAATAATAACAAGGAGAAGGAAAATGCAAAGATTTTATTTTATTTTCTTTCAAGCTGCAACCAATCACTGGGGGAGTAGAAGAATAATTCAGTTTGTGGTCTTTTCTTATAAATAAAAACATTTCTTGTTATTTATTTATTTTTTCTTGCCATTTCAGTTATAGGATTGTTTGAGCCTATTTTTCTCTAAAAATGCATTTTAAAATAGTGTTACTATAGAGAATGTGTGGTTAAAAATAAAGACAAAATTCGAATTTACGTGTAATAATATTTTATTAAAAAACATGTGGTTGAAATGGATCAAATTACTATTAAAGAGTGTATTTTGATAGTAAAATTGGGGCAAAGCCGCAAGGGCTATAACTTATGAATTTGATTATTGAAATCAATGATAGTTGGATTTTGTTCAGAATCTTATATGACTTTGCCCTTGTGATAATGACACTTTCACGATTCTAATCAGTTTATGCAACGTTTAGGTTGTTTCTGTACAAGCTTGCACGTATTTTTCATTAAAATAATATTATACGTACTTTTACTTATTTTTTAACCACACATTCCCCATCAATCTACTATTCCAAAATATATGTTTATTTAATCCCTCTTTGATTGTCATTATTTAAAAAAAAAAAAAAAACAAAGTAATGTGTTTTTAAAAAATAGAAAAGTTTTGAATTTACGTGTAAATTTTTATTTATTTATTATTATTATTTTTTTGTATGAATTTGTTGTTAAAAATGAGTATGTAGAATAAGAAGTTTTGAAACAGTTGCTCATCAAAATACCATATAACAAGTCCAATCGTCATATCCAAGGATAAAACTATACTAATGTAGGTGGCAAATTCTTAGTGTATATTTGGCAAAGTTTTTATGTGCTTATAAACCATGAGTTCTATATAATGTGTGAATAATAAGTGAGTAATAACATACCAAATGAGTTAATAAAATGTATGTTTGACCATCTTATTAAAAATTTAAATTTCGACTACCATCTGCCTTAGATTAAGCTACGCAAAAACGGACGACTCAACATCTATCATCGATACAAATAGGAAATCTGTAGTTGTCCAAAAAAAAGGTATAGCACTAAAGTTCCCTGCTCGGAAACATAAAAACGCAAAGCATACAAAATTATTATTTCTACACAAAGATAGTGATCATAATCAAAAAGCATACAGAATTATTATTTCTACACAGATATTGTTCATGGATTATCATCAAGCAACCAAGAGAGTGCCTAAAGAGAAACATGGAGAACATAATCAATGCACACTAAGCAAAATTCCATGCAGATAGCCAGCACTTATGACAAGTGATGCAAAGGAGACTATAACAGCTAGAAAAATCTTCCTGGACTTCTTAAAGCACGAACCCATCCCTCGTAGAAGAGAAGCCAACATCCCAAAACCAAGTGATGATACCAAAACAGCAGAGGCGGCCTTGAGAGTGTACAAATTGAGCGACTGCACAGGGCTTCAAAATTGTAAGGGCACCAAATTTTTTTTTATATGGTTGTATATTTATTTATAATTAAATATTTAAAATATATATTAATTTGAAAATATAAAATTTTTATTATTATGCATAAGATATTAAAATTAAGAATAATGTGACTAACTAATTATAATTTCCTTGAATATAATATTTTTAAACAGTATTCCTATCTTAACTAATGTGAAGAAAAAGGGAAAAGTCAAAAAGAGATCAAACCAACCAGAGAATTGAGAGAAGAAAGAAAAATTGAGCAACCGCCTTTTCCAATCATCTTTTTGGAGAAAATAATTAAAGAAATTAATCATCTTTTCCAATTGCCTCAAAGATAATTGAGACAAAGAAAAGATATATATATATATAGTAGATGAATTTGCTATTGTAGATGATGCACAATCACCTAAAAATTATTTCAGAACCAATTATTTCTTTTATATAGTAAATCAAGCAATTGGATCACTTGAATGAAGGTTTGATCAATTCAATTTATATGAAAAAAATTTGGATTTCTATTTTCTTCTAACAAATGAAACTCATTATATGATGCTAATTTGAAAGCATGTTGTAATCATCTTGATATTGTTTTAAGACATGTAAATTTTTGCAATCTTGATGGCGAAGATTCATTTTAAGAGTTAAAAGTTTTGCGAAATCTTTTACCAAAATAAAAAAGACGGCTTTTGATAGATTGACTTGTTTGAAAAGATTAGATTGCTTTTCAAATATATGTATTGCTTGTAGAACATTATTGATAATTCATGTTACTGTTGCATCTACTCTTAAGAAATTTTTTAAAAATTGAAGTTATTAAAATCTTATTTGCAATCAACCATGTTACAAGAATAATTGAATGAATTATCTTTGATATCTATTGACCAAGACTTTCTAGAAAATATTGGTTACGAAGTTTAATTAGCCAGTGAGCTTTTAAAAATGCAAGAAAAATTATTTTTACATAATTTGTTGCATTTCAAGTTTTACACTTGAAATGCAACAATTAGGTTAGTGGCTTGGATGGTTCTTTGTTAATGACATATGAATTTTGATGAAGTTCGAGGTATGCTTTTGAGCTTTATTTATGTTTTTCTTGTTCATATAAAAAAATAATAAATATTTAAATACCATATTTTTGCAATGAAATAATATTATTTAAATATTTTTTTTAATATATATTTTAGTTACTTGAAGGAGGCATCATTTTACAATCTCGTACAGGGTTTCTAAAATCTCAAGGCCTATGCAAAACAGGATTAGCTGGAAGCATTGTATAAACACAATACAATGACTTCTGGCTTCCATTTTTCAAATAGCCAATAACTCCACCAACTCCGACCAGGGTAGCATAACCGAGTGTCAATTTTTGGGACATCAACAGTGCCTTCGCTTTCTTGTCGCTGCCCTTATTGTGATCATCAATTTTGCCTGATCCCTTGCTGCCCTTGTCATCATTACGGCCATTGTTGCTGCCTCCACCCCCACCATTGCCTTTTGGACTGCCAAGAACAGCATCAGAGCCATCAGAATCCGGGAGGACATCAATACCTTCCTCAGCTGAATCAACTGTAAACGTGGTAGGTGTCTTAATGTGGACTCTCATCTCCCAGGAAAAATGCTTTTGCTGTGCATAAACGGTTGGAATTGTAATCAAACTCGTTGAACAGAATTGATGTAGTACAACTACAATTCCTACTACTAAGATGTTTTATATTTTAGGAGATAATCTGCCTATAAATATGGAGCATCGTCCACTTTTCAACAACAATAAATTATCATTCAATATATACATGACATAATTGTTCAAATATCTTTTCATTTATTACATAATTCTTATTACAAGAGTCCATAACGCTTCCGCACCAAAATTGATTTCAGAACAAGGAAATTGCCTTACTCTGATGGCCAACGACGGTCCTGGTGGCAGTCGAATCGCCAACGACGAACGGAGGCTTGACAAACTCAAACAACAAATCGAGGAGATCGACGAAATCCTTTACAACATCACACAGATGCTGATTGTGTTAAGTTTTGAAAGGAATTGTTAGCTCATGGAGAAGCGAGCTAACAAGAATTTGTAGATTTTAACTGCATTGAATGTTAGTTGTTTCAACAAGCACAGGACACGACAACATGTAGCTAAAGAATTTCCTCGAGTCCCAGCCAAGTTCAAAATAAAAAAGTTATTAATGATCATTTTCTTCAACAAAACTCGAGGACGAGTTTTTCTTCACGTGGAGGGAATTGATGTAGTACAACTACAATTCCTACTACTAGGATGTTTTATATTTTAGGAATTTGATTTCCTTTTAGTTTTCTTGTATTAGAACTCTTTTTATTAGGATTATAGTTTTTAGAAGGTTAATTAGAACAGAGTTTTATTAATTTCATAGTTTCCTTATTTCAATTTCCTAATACTATTAGGAGTAGAAGATAATTTGCCTATAAATATATAAGCATTGTACACTTTTCAACAACAATCAATTATTATTCAATATATAAATAACATGATTGTTCAAATATCGTTTTTATTTATTACATAATTCTTATTACAAGAATTTTATTATCGCTTCCCGCACCAAGAATCTCATACATAAATTATCAGATAATGATGCCTGGATGCGACCAATAGAAACCGGTTGTTGATTTGGAACTCAAAGCCAAAACACAGGCAATAGCAGTAAAGAAGACTGCGAAACCGTCAAAAGTTCTCCCATATGAACTGAATTTGGATACACAATTTAGATATCCCGTACAGATATCCTAAGTAAAGAAAATTAACCAACTTTCAGGATGACGTTTCAGCTGATCTTGTACTCTCTGCAAATTCTACAAAAATCAATCTTCCATTCACTATCTGCACTGGCATACAAATGTAAAAATTAGACGAAATAGCAGCACACTCAAATGGATTAATACATCCAAGTGATTAAGATGCTAGCAGGTCATCAGATGTTCTTACAATAGGTTATGGAACATCCACTATGGGAATGTAGACAAAGCATATTGAAGTGAACAACAGAAGATTCCCCAAAAAAGGCAAACAGTAACATCCTCTTCTTTAGGCGGAATAATTAAGAGTTAAGACTGCTATGAAAAGCCTTCTTTTAGTTGAACATGGAACAAAAACACATGAAAAATACCAAAAAGACCTGTATTAAATAAACTGAAAGGAGGATAAGCAAAACTATAGGAAGCTGGAAAAAGAGGAGATCCTTTAAGCATCAAACAAGAGATCAAACTCATACAATTCTGACTTTTAAAACTCAGATGCTCCATTAACACTTGTCAGTATCAATATCTATATTAATCTATGCAACTAAATTAGTCAGTACGAACAGCTTGAACTTGTGTCTCTGAGAGGGGCAAAAAGTAAATTGCAGTTATAATGCACAGTAATGGTACTAAAAGTACTAAACTAACAGTATGATAAGAGTACAGCGTGCTCGGTTCATCAACGTTGTAGCTTTCCAACATGTCCAGTGCTACTGTTATTTCTTGAACAGAACAACAATTCACACTGTCTAAAGGCTAGCTGACGAAAAAAATTAGGAAGATAAGTTCTTTCCCTGCTCAATCATAATATTAGTCTCTGTTCACTTTTCAATCTTCTTATGCATACCCACTCATCTTGTCAACAGATGCACAAAACATCACAATTTTAGAACCTGCAATAACCAACCCCACCCCGCCCCGCCCCCCGGGAAATGATGGAAAGAGATGCTATCGACCCATGTTGCCTTAAGTGGTTACTTATTACACTGGACAAGAGGAAACAGGCAAGACAAAATTCTCTGCTAATTTTCTTTTTTTAATTTTCCAATTTAAGCCATTGAGAGAAGGGGAAAAAAATTATTCAGAAATATCAACAGGTAAAATGCCACTGGAAGATATCTCAACCCATTAACTCCACATTTTTCAAAGAACATTTTGACAGCTTGACTTGAAAAGAAAGTGTCTTTTATGTTGATTAGGATAAATTAGAACTAAAAAGGTTCACACTAAAAAGACCAATTTTTGAACCTGCAATTTCATGACTTGAAGGGGACAACATTTGGAAAAATGCATTTCAATCTACGATGATTGTAAGAGAAAAATAATTCTAGCATAATCCAAATACATGGATTTAAATGGTGAAGATTCTGATTCAAGATCATATATACATTGATTGAAACCCGATTTAGTGACTTACAAATAACGTCATAGCAATTAAGAAACTTCAGCAATACTTGACAATCAAAGCACATCATACAACCAGTGTCAATATATGTGCATTTTATAAATGTTACCACAAACTACTGTCCCCATAATCGACATGGGGATACATATGCAATCATACATTACCACATTAGAAATATATACGATTGCAAAAGTATCTTACCCTGCCATTCATAGCCTTCACTGCATTCTGGGCATTGACTTCTGATGCAAATTTCACAAAGGCAAATCCTTTAGGCCTTTGTGTTCTTGGGTCTTTGATAAGCCTTGCTGCATTAAACACAGTCATCATCCACGAGATTGAGTGAAAGTTTAAGATCAGTGCCGGGTAGATTACTAGGAGAAAGAAGAAAACATCTCAAATTAAAACCATTAAAAGTTTGTTTGCCAAAGCTTAATCAAAGTAAAAGTTTGCTTTAAGTAAGACATCTATATCCAAACCTTTTTAAAAATAAAACTTACACCTTCCTCAACTTACTTATTTCAAATTTTGATAAACGCAAAATCTTTTATTTTAGAAACTTTCTCATTTACCTATAATTGAACTTTTTAAGCTTGGCCAACATGTTCTAAATACGATCATTTATACCTTCGGAGACTGCGCCAAACGGAGAGAATAAACTTTTCAATTCTTCCACTGTGGTGTAAAACGACAATCCTAATCTCAAAGAATCAAGACTTATATGATATTAGAATTTCAACCAAAACCCACAGTCCAGACAATAAAGAAAATTTAAAAAAAAAACGAAAAGAGGCGCATACTGCTTATAAATAGCTCAGAGCTAATTCTTCTTGCCATCCGAGTTTAAAGTAGGTATGTCCTACAAGTCAGGACAGGTCTGAATTTAGTAAACAATTGCCAATTAGTCCTGCACGAGATTATATTCAACGAATTTTGAGCCTGTTAGGCTCAGCTTAAATAATTGAAGTTGTACGTTTTCTTTATCTAAACATGTTCGAATAACTTTTTTTTCCTTTCTTTTAGATCTCAAGTTTTCTCATGCGCGAACTAAGAGCTTTGCCAAACGTGCTCTTAATCACAAGATTTTAGACCACTTTGCATCTCTTTATCATGCCATTGTTTTCTCATATTCAAATTCTTGATATTTTACAGGATATGAACAGGTTTAAAGAACACTATATACATGCAAATAACATTCAAAAAGGAAACTGGGTGCTCGTAATAATGTCAGATTCAACAGAAATTTTACCTGGGTTTCTATTACTTTCAGCAGATTTTGCACCTCCGTATCACGCCGTTGTTGTTTTGTGTTTGCTTAAAACTGACTCAGACAGTGAGAAGTCGAAGGGTGGGGTTTCCATTCTGGAAGAGAGTCGATTGCTAAGGACGATAATAGGAAGTCGTTGATGGACTAATGCGATTTTATTCTTTAAGTGGCTATATGGATTGGGCTCAAGGTTCCAAGTCAAGCCTATCTAACTTCTTAATAAAAGGACAATGAGACAGTACTGCAAATGCAACAGTAAATTAATTTAATGTTATTGTACGTGATGTCATTTTTTATTTTCGTATTTTGTGAATAATTTTGTTTATGGTGATATATCCACACGCATTATGTCATCAACATTAAAAATAATAATAATAATTTAGAGCCTGTTTAAGCTACATTATTTGTAGAATGAGAATGAAAAATAGAGTTGTTATGAATCCCACACAAAAGATAGAAATTCAAAAATGATGGCTTGATGTGATGGATAACGGTCATATTTTTCATTTTAATGAGGTAAAAATGGAGCTCAAATAGGGCCTTAGTATATATAAACTGCCATGAGAAAAAAAAATCTCTTCGTACTGTTCGAAAAAAAAAAAACTCTCCGCATGATATGAAGAGATTTGCTTCTTTTTTTATCAATAAATTTTTTCTTCCTCTCTCTCTCTCTCTCTCTTTTTTACTTTTGTCCATATCTTTGCGCAATATCTATTTTTCATTCTTCACGCAACATCGATTTTCCCTATTTCTTTACGCAATATCCATTTATCTTTCTTCTCTCTTACAATTTTCACCCTATTTCTTTTTTTTTTTTCTCAAACTCCTCTCTCTCACCCAAATTGTAAAATTTTTTGCTCAATTCAGATTGGATGATATTCGGGTGTATGAAGCCCCTGCGCTAAATGTCACTGCTCTGAGGTTCACGGAGACAGCAAAGGCTAGGATTGAGAAGGCGGGAGGATAATGCTTGACTTTTGACCAGCTTGCTCTTAAAGCTCCTCTTGGCCAGTACACAGTATAGACTTTCATCTCCTATTCTCTCGTTCTCATTTATTGATGAATCCAATATTAAGTTTTTTGCTTTACATGCTATCACAAAATACTGTGGTGGAGATCATTCTTTAAACTGATGGTAACAAATAACAAGTTTGAACTTATTTACAATGTCTCATTTGGTTGCTAAATTTCAGTGAGAAAATATTAAAATGCTGAGAAAGCCTTTTTTTATGCTCAATTCAAACTGAAGAAATCAAAGGTGAATGAATATGACGATATATAAATACTTTTTTCATCCTTTTACCTTTTCTGATTATGCTCACTATTTCTAAATATTTTCTTCTAATGCCTGGTTAGAAATCCTTTCTCAGTAGGGGGTTTTGAATTGTTCCCACTTGGTACACTAGAAGAGTTAACTTGTGGAAAAATAGGTGTTCTCCTCCTTGAAAGAAAGTCGTTCTATTGCAGGATATTTGACGATCATTGTATTCCATCAGTATTTTGCTTTCTCTGGTATAATTCAGAATAATTTTGTGATATGATCCCACAAATGGAGCCCTCGTTAATTGAACTGGCTAGACAATGAATGGACGAATTTACTGAACCAGCTGGTGTGCTGCTGGTACTCCTTAGAGGTCCAACAAAATCTCATGAAGCTGTGAAGCACGTTGGTCCGGCTCCTGGTGTACCACACAGTCACACAAAGCCTTGTGTCCGTGCCAAGGGAAGAAAATTTGAGCGGGCTAGAGGAAGGAGAAACAGTCGAGGCTTCAAAGTTTCAATTATTACAGAATTGATGACAAATTTTATCTTTTCCAGATTCCAAGCGAAATGCTTTGGCAGTTTAGTTACTATCGATCCTTTTTGACAATTTCTTTTCTTCATCTTGGAAGCCATTGTCTATCTTTTGCACCCTCATTAAGTGTACCTTTTATATTTGTACGATATGAAGTTTTGACCTTAGAAAAATTTGGAAATTATTGCTGCGAATCTCTATATGCAACTGGCTTCATGTAGGCATGTTTCATAAAGTAGACAGGATAACACCATACATATCTAGATTTTTCCCGATTTTTATAGTAACCCCGCTTCATTATATGAATATTTGTGCTACATTTACATTCTTATATTTTTTTCACTCTTTCACATGTCTATATTTACTATCTTGATTTTGAATTTATCCATCACAATACTGCACAGATTTCTTCCACCCAGGGAGAATGTCAATCAAGTTGTCCTGCAAGATGTATATATAGCTTTATCCTTACGAACCTTGGATTCATCCCCATGCAACTAACTTGCATAAAAATTATATTAGACCAATTGTTTCATTATCAAGTTTGTTGATTGTGATGATTTATTGTAAGCTGTAGTTTTTGATCGATTGAGTTTGACCTTTTCGTCAATTTTGCTAAAAATCATTGGACCAATAAGTGCTTAACTAGAATTAATATTCCTATAATCTGTGTGCAGTTGATGAATCTCATTGTTTATAATTTCTTTTGTGATGTATCTGATAAAAGTTTAATATAGAAATTGGGTCCCATTGTTTAGAAAGTTGATGAGTCGCAGATGATAGATTGTTGAATTGAACTGAACAATGTGTGCAGACCTCCAATATTTTCCTTGACTTGGTGCAAGTGTTTTTTTGTCAATATCTTGAGAATTTCATACTACTCATATAGTTCAGACATAATGATATTACTAATAAATTCAGTTTTTCTTACATACTTGTCTAAACTAATCAAACACATACCATATATAGTTTTAATTTTTGGTTTAGAAGATAGTGATTTTTGAAATAATATGAGCATTCTTCACTTTAGATTTATTTAATTAACTACAATCATAAGTGTATGGACGGTGATTTTATAGATAGAGTATTCCAAGACTCTTAAATAATGCAATAAAATTTCAACATTTTTTTAACATCCACAATTTCTACACTAATAAAAACAACATTCGTGCAACACACATGACAAGGACTAGTTGTAAATAAATAATGGGGAAAATACACCTAACCCTAGTGTTAAACTATCAAATTCATTACTCAGATTTAGGAGTCTTTTTAATTATTTTTTTTTCAAAAATCAAATGATAATTTAAATATTCATAATATTAAAAAATTAAATTATTCTACATATTCGCCCCACACCATCTATTCTAGCCAATTTCACTCCCCATACCCTAATTATTTCTCCCTCTCTTCTTTTTCTTTGTATACCTCTATATTCTCTCTTCCCACCTTCTCTCTATCCTCTATATTGGAGATAGAGCCAGAGCCTCTGCATGAAGTAGCTAAGGTTAGACGTGCTCCAGTTCGATCTTACCGAACCAGAATTTTTGGGTATTTAATAAATTGAATGATCAGGTTTAAATTTAATTATAGAACCGTTTGGTTCAATTCAGTCAAGTTTTAGTTCCATTCCATAATTAATACCTTTCTAAAGAAATTTTGTAAGTGCAACATGACTTGTATCAATTAGTAATACATACTTGAGTAAAATAGAAGATGTAATCCATTTTCTAAACAAAGGATATTACTGTATGAAAGATTCTTAATCACAACAAATTCGAGATTTTTGAACTCTAATTTGTTAGATGAAATTTGTAAACTTTCCATTTCAACTCTTCATATGAGAGCTTGCGCTTTGGGACCATGATTTCATCTTCTTGGTTAAAGATTATGTTTTATTTCATTGTGGGTTTCATCCAAATTTACATCAATAGGGGTGGGTATGGTTGGATTGGGTCGATTTTTTTCCCAACTCAATATGGTCAGTTTAATCTAAAATCAAATCAACACAATCCAATTAATTGTTTAAACCCAACCCCAACGCATCAAGTTTGGGTCGATTTGGGTTAGGTTGGCTAGTTTAGGCTTTAGTCCAATTAAAGTTGGATCCGATTATTTTTTTTTGTTAAATTTGGATAACTATTTAAAATTTGAAAATACTTTAAAACCTTTATTTTTTTAGTATCTATATAAGGAATTTTTTCTAAAAAATAATATATAAATAAGTTTAAAATTTATGAAACATTTTCCTTTTTACAAATTTTTGGACTTATTTATTTCATCATCGTGTTTTTAATTTTTACTTCATTGTTAAATAACATTTTATTTGTACAAAGTGTTCGTGTGAATTAATCTATGTAAATAAAATGGACATTCATAAATTATAAGTCCCCATATTTTTACTATTGTGTTTATTTAGGGGTTTTTTCAGCTTAGATGTATATGTTTTTTGGAAAAATAACGCAAAACCATACTTATAAACTTTACATTTCAAAACTAGGGTGATTAGGTTTAATTTTCTAAAATCAGGTGTTAATTATTTATTTTAAAATTAATAATAATTATAAACTAATTGTTCATTTACGTGATGAAATCTGAACCCTCTATATCTGAATTACACAGTTTTCATAATACTTCTGCACGTAATCACTGATCATCCAAACCACGTCCTTCGCGTTTTACCATAAACCCTCTCTCTCTCTCTCCACAGTGCAGTGCAGAAAGAAACCACGTTCTTCTCTCTCTTCTTCTCTCTACCAGAAATACAGCAATGACGTTGCTCTCTCTCTTCTCTTCTCTCTCTAATACAGTAAAGTAACCTCCCACTCCGTTTTTCCACTACTACGAACCGCACAATAGTTTATTAAATTTTAGTTTCAACAATAGTTGTGTTTGGAATGGCAAAAACTTGAAGTGTTGGTGCGAAAATGATGGAGAAGGATAAAGGAAAGAGGAAATATGTTGAAAGAGATTCTTCTTCAGCAAAGAGAGTTAAAATGTCATCCTCTGGCGGGAAACCCATGAAGAAGGTGAACTCCGATTTTATGACCTATTATTTGAGTAGTTTGTGACCTGATTTGGGTATTCTGCGTAGGAAATATAATTTTGTGATCTGTTTTAGGTATTTTGTAATTTGAAGGTTTTGTGACTTATTTTATGTATTGCGTGATTGTGACTTTCTACTTGTTTGTGTTATGATTTTGGAAAATTTGTGACCAACTATTTTAGGATTTGGCGAGAAACTCATGAAAAAGGTGAACTCCAATTTTGTGACCTAATTTCTGAAATTTGTGACCTATTATTTGAGTAGTTTGTGACCTGATGTGGGTATTTTGTGTAGGAAATATCATTTTGTGACCAACTCATTGAGTAGTTTGTAATTTGTACTGTGTGATCAATTACTATTTACTTTAATCGAATGTGTTTTTAAAGGAGTGCTGGATTGTTTGCGAATGAAATAATTGTTGTGACTTTTTACTTCTTTGTGTTATGATCTTAGAAGAGTTGGTCACAGCGAAATGTTTGTGTTGAAGGTCAGAGTAACATTTTTTATTTTACCATTGTGTAGGACTGGAAATACTTAATAAAACCAAGGAATTGGTTTTCTGGAAAAATCACCACAACGCAAATACAGAGTGTGATTACGCACTTTGTGATGACATTTAAGACTGCGCAGAGGGCAATTCTAGAAAATACATGTTTCTCCTACTACATGCATTGTAGGGAGATAGTTGTGCAGCCACAATTGATTCACCAAATTTTACTACGGGAGGTCAAGCAACCGAACAAGCAAGAGATGTGGTTTAATGTAAATGGGAGATATATTCGTTTTTCAATTGCTGAATTTTGTTTGGTTACGGGATTGAGGTATGATGGGGTTGATGGTCGACCAATGTTAGATGAAAAATTGTCTTCAGTGAAGGACACATATTTTAAGGGCTTAAAAGTTGTTACAAGTGAAGATGTCAAGAGGGTTTTTATTTCACTTGATGATGCACCAGACCTTGACGTTGTTAAGATTGGAATTATTTATCTCATCACCTGATACTTATTTGTTACATCCTACCCGAAGGTGGTGGATCAATACATATTTGCACTTGTAGACGATTTTGCCACTCTTGAAACATTTCCTTGGGGTAGATATTTGTTTGAGACCACCTTATTGTCGCTAAAAAAGGGACTATCAAAACAAACTAGTCACTATAGATTGACAGGTTTTTTAGTAGCTTTCCAGGTGTGGTTATATGAGTGCATACCTGCACTTGAGGAAAATGTGGCCACAAGAATTTATAAGAAATATCCACGCATTATTAATTGGACTGCGCACAAACATCCTTCAGTGTCAATGTTGGAAGACAAAGTATTTGGAAATGAGAATGTAAGGTTTTAAATACATTTAAATTGTTATGTAATCATTTGGTTGATTATATAAATTTTGAAATGGCATATGATCAATATTTTTTCATCTTATGTGAAACAGGTTGTGATAAATGACATAGATCCATCTAAAGTTGAACTCACAATGCCATATATGACAGGTTTTAAATATGAACTTCACATTTATTATGATACGAAATATGATTTGTGACCTGAAGTATGAATATCCTGTTTGTAAAGTGACATATGTT